AACCCGCCTGCCAGGGCCATTAGGTTGATAACTGTAACTGCTGCAACCTTTTAGCTCAAGATTACTCAAGGTTACATCCATCACTTATATTTCATCTATTTCTTTACACTGGCTTTGCTTTATAATTGGAGATTTTCACTACATCCTGGGATGTTTTCCAGCCCTTTCTGGCTATGATTCTATGTTGGCAATTACAGATGCTGGCTCTTCACATCGCAGCCTTTTCTTGTTCTGTGATGTGCTTCTAGAGCTTCTCTCTGTTTCTCCCATTCTCGTAGTTAGCCCCTGCAGCAGGACAGTGTGCATCAGCTGTCACCTCTACAGGGGCTTTGACTTACTGGAAGCTTTGGATGTTCCTTGTACATCCAGTGCTTACATCTGGTAGCTGTTCCCATAAGCAACTCTTTATATCTATTTTCTCCCTTCCTTCACCCACCCACGAGTGATGGATGCTATTCTTACGGTAAGAGAGTGAAGATTCTTACCTTTACCCTCCCAGAGTGATGGCTTTCAACAGAGCTGGGAGCTCTGATCTCTTTGCCTCTATGAGTTTACTCTTATTTTTAAGTGAAGAAAGTTTCTGGCAATTGTTTATTTCCTATGTAACTATTTTTCCAGCTTCCAAGGAGCAAAGTATTGAGGGTTTGGCCTTGGCCTGTTTTCTTGGGCCTTCATCAGCTCTATGATAGATGGATAGTTTCCTGGTTCAATTGGGGTATTTCTGAATATGTTCCTAAAGTGAGTTAGACAGTCTGATTCACAATTGTAACACTCTGGATACAGTCACAAAGGATGAAGCCCCATCCCCTCACACAGGGATTCCCCTGTTGCTGAGGATACAGGAGCTGCTGAGCAGGGACTTCAGGTGAAGCCCTGCCAGCCAGGAGAGTTCGGTGCTTGCTGCCTGAAGCTGTAAGGGTTAAGCTTGTCTCCAGCCAGCCAAGTGACCTGCTGCCCCAAAGCATAACGATTATCTGCATTACAATGCAGCACAGCATCTAACTGTTTGCCATGCTGGTGTATGGGACCAGGCAGGCACCCATCCTTTCCTCACTATACTTATTTCAGTAAGGGGTTTCTCACCAGGATCCTGCCAACTACACCAAATGTAATGCACTGGTGCAAGAGTTTGTTGTGGATCCCAGTAAGAAAGGCACTCAAAGCCCATAATGTATTAATTAAAGTACCATTTAGTGGATATAACACAAGAAAGTGTATAGCATGAGATAATCCTACGCTCCATTAGATGCTGCCAACACCAAGCTGTACAGCATCAGATAGGTGTCTAGTCCAGCCATGGCACGCTGCACAGATCCCATCCATGTTGAGGTTCACCAGTATCATGGTTTTCAGGGCTTTAATAGGATTTTCTTAGGAGTAAACAACTCCATCATTTTGCTATCAAGCAAATGGTTGTCACATAAGAACTGCTGCTTCTAAGATAGAGACAAAAACACAGTGGTGGCATCAGCACCATGTGCCCAGTGGGAGTCACCTATGGGATCCTCAGTCAAGATTAGCTGGCCAAGTTTATCCTGCAGCCAAGTGATACGTGCGGCACAGCACAGCCCTGGCCCTACCTACTCAGATCAACTGTTAGAGAACAGCATTCTGTGAAGACCTCCTCATTCATAATTGCTCCTACTCTTTCTCTCCTGTTCTCTCAACTAAAGCAGGTCACAGGTCAGCAGATGAGGCTTTAGGGGCCTGGATTCTCCCTTTCTGCTCCCCCAGTTGCTCCCACTTCTCTCCTGGTTCCTGTGTGACAGAGGGCACACGCTTCAAACGTGCCCATGAGGCCAGCTCCAGCGAGAACGCTTTGCAGCTGTGTCAATATTTGAAAACTCAGCTTCAAATACAAGCCCCCCCATGGGCCTGTGCTCCCACTGGTGAGTCCCAGCAGCCAGGGCACAGACCGAGCTCCTCTGCCCCTCACTTTAAAGAAAAGAGCTGAAAATAAGGACACCCAGAGGTTTATTGACTGAATTCACCTCCCATCCTCACATCAAAGTGTCCTGGATCTGACTCCAGCTCCTTGTCTGCAGGCTGGTTGTAAAAGTTGAGTGTAGAAACTGCAAAGAGCAGCTTTTCAGGTTGTTTCTGTGTTCATAGCACCCCAACAGGGAACTGTCTGAGTCCCCAGTGACACTACACCCTCCTCTTGGGCATTAGAAGCCCAGAGAATTTAAGCCCCTAAACAAACCTTTTTTGGGGAACTGCAGATGTTAGAGAGGTGCAAGAGAGAGCAAGAACAGCTTAAACTGAGGATGCAGCAAATGAAAACAGTGTTTGTGTAACAGGGAGTGCAGAGTGGGCAAGGGTTAAAGACCTCCACCAGGTCTGGTATTGACCATCTCTTCCTATGAAGTCAAGTTCATGTGGCACTGGGAACTGTGCACTTTCTTCCTGAAATGTGACCCAGTTGGCAAATGAGCACTGAAGAGGATGGAGCAGTGGGAATATTGAGGTGTAGTTGTGCTGGTGCTGCCTTTTAGCTTTATGGTGCAGGAGCAGGAAAGATGTGGAAGAGAGGAAGCAAGAACGGGAGAAAAAGAACAAGGGAAATAATAGATTCATGAACCCAATTTAAATGTGGAGGGAAAGGGCAAAATCTCTTGAGCATACCAAGATGAAGGGCTGGAGAAGTGAGCAGCCTCTCAGCTGGGGACAGCGAAAACTGCACTGTACAGTGAGACACGAAACTATTCTTTCATGTCCTCAGAGACCTTCCAGTCACTGCAAGGCCTAAAGCAAGCAAAACGTGACAGTGGAGAAGGAACACTCAGCACCAGCTCCAAGGTAGGACTTTGCTTCTGCTACTTGTGAGAAATGCTCTTCAAAAATGCACAACAGAGACACCTTGGTAACACCTGGGAGCTGCTTCCCAGCGATGGCTGCAATCAGCATCCCCTTCAAATGAGCACAAGCGCTGCTGAGCTCCAAGAAGAGCAACAATTAATTAGGAAAGACTTGAACAGAAGGTGTTGTTCAAGCTGCTGCTTTGAGACTCCTCCTGCCTTCCCCATGGTGCATTGTCAGAGGCAGAGCACAAGCACTGATCATTAACACTGTGGGTGTCTTCTCTAGGAAGTTATTCCCATTGACAGCCAGTGCTCTCTCTGCACCAGGTCCTGCATGTGTAGGCTCGCAGCTCCAAGGAGCAGCTATCAAAGTACCCAGGTCTACATAGACAGTTACCTCCAGGACTGCTTAATTCTGCCTGGGGCTGAGCTATAGAGCCTTGCTGCCACAGAGAGACAAGAGAGATGGGGTTTTTGTTGGGTTTAGTTTTACCCCATTTTAATAAGTACAGAAGAAGATCAGGATGGGGGGAACAGTCAGATGCCAGGCTTGACCTCCACCACTTCTGCAAGGGCTCTGAAGCCCACCCCTTCCTGGATGACGCCAACAGGTCTCGTTTGGTGCAGTAAGCCTTGTCACACTGGGTGCACTGGAAGGGCTGCACGCCCTGGTGGGCCAACACATGGGCTTTGAAGCTCTCCTCTGAACTATGGTGCTTGCCACACTCCATGCACAGGAAGGGCTTGTGGCCAGCATGGGCAAAGTGGTGCTTCCTGAGGTGGCAGAGCTGCAAGAGGGCTTTCCCACACTGCCCACAGCGGTGCCTGCCCTTGATCATCTCCTTTTGGGATGGGGCTTTTGGTGGGGGATCTGGGATGTCAGAATGACCCCAACTTGAAGGTGACAACAGACCCAGGTCTCCTGGACATGGCTCTTTATGCCCCATCTCTGCTGCAGATCTGGGATCCACATCCTTGTCAATTCTTCCTTGTGCCCGCCGTTGGTCTTAATGCTTGAGGTGGTCTTGAGGTGCTGATTCTCAGCCCTCAGCTCATGTTTGGAAGCTGTGCCTTCCTCTTCTCGCAGCCTGTGGAAATGCTTGGTGGGCAGCCTGCTAACCTCAGTGGGGAGACATCAAGGACCGCGGTTTTGTCACCTTGGAAACATCAGGATCCCCTGCACGAAACCAGACACATGGCGGGTGACTTAATGCTGGCTATTGCTATGTGACATTATTGCTCCTGGATCAGAGGAATAATGTTTGAGATGGATGAAGATAGGCTGAGAAAGTTGGAGCTGTTCAGCCCGGAGAAGAGAAGCTGCATGGAGACCTCATAGCAGCCTTCCAGTATCTGAAGGGGGGCTATAGGGATGCTGGGGAGGGACTCTTCATTAGGGACTGTAGTGACAGGACAAGGGGTAACGGGTTCAAACTGAAACAGGGGAAGTTTAGGTTGGATATAAGGAAGAAGTTCTTTATTGTGAGGGTGGTGAGGCACTGGAATGGGTTGCCCAGGGAAGTTGTGAATGCTCCATCCCTGGCAGTGTTCAAGGCCAGGTTGGACAGAGCCTTGGGTGCCATGGTTTAGTGTGAGGTGACCCTGCCCATGGCAGGGGGGGTGGAACTGGATGATCTTAAGGTCCTTTCCAACCCTAACTATTCCGTGATTCTATGGATACTACGGATAACCCTGGGCTCTGGCATAACCGCTATTACTTCTATGACCCTTTCTTCTTTGAAGCTGCATTTCTAGTGTTTCACAGGCAGTGTCTGGGAGGCATCACCGCAGAACCAACCAGGTTGGAAACGACCTTTAAGGTCATCAAGTCCAACCATCACCCAGCACTGCCGAGCCCACCGCTCAACCGTGTCATTGAGGGACCGGCAGCCACCGACAGAACAGGGCACCCGCTCCCTCCTCGGCCGGCGGCTCTGGAGGCAGCACAAGGTCCGGTCCGCAGCCTCGGGGGATCCCTCCGGGCCATACCTGAAGGCCGTGGGCCGCTCGCTGCACCGGGCCGCGCGTCCCCCGCCGGCGCGGCTCGTCCCGGCAAGGGGCTCCTACCGCGGCCCCCGCGCTGAGCCGCCCGCCGGAACGGAGCGAGCAGGCGGCGGGCGCGCCCGGACGCGGACCGGCGGCGGGCGGGGCGGTGCAGCGCGGCGCGGCGCTCCCCGCTTCCGGCGGGGCTGGCAGGCGGGCGGGCCGGGCGGCGGCAGGTAATGGCAGCGGGTGGTGCCCGCGGGGCGCAGCCGGGTCCATCGGGCAGCAGCGGGGGCCGGGGCGGCCTCTCCTTGGTGCTGCCGGGGCGGGGAAGGGGCCGGGGCCGGGGCCGGGGCCAGGCCCGGAGCCCCAGCGCCTGAGCCCCTGCCCGCGTTATTGCTGCGGGTCGGGGTCCTCGGGAAGAGCCCGTCCGGTGCCGCGCTGCGGGTGCCCGGGCGGGGGGAGCGGAGGTTTAATCCCTCCTTTGGTGCTGGCCGTGGGGCCGGGTTGTGCGGGTACAGCGCGGTGTAAGAGTGCGGGGGTCGGAGGGAGCTTTGCCGTCCCTTCGGGGGCCCAACGGTTCAGTGTCCCCCGTTATGCATGCGCTGTGGGGATCGGCGGGTTAACAGTGCGGATAGCGAGCCTTACAGTCTCTTTGTTTGGAAGCTGAAGTTGTCTCTGGGTCGCCACAGGAGCTCGGTCTAAGGGAATGGGAGAGAAGCAGCTGTGTGGCGGAGCGGAGGAGGGGTGCAGCCCCTCTAGGGCCGTGTTTGCCCCCGTTTCCTCACATGCTCCGCATGTGATCCTGCACGGCGCTGGCGGCAGCCCTCAGTACTTGGTGCTGCTGCTCCGCGGAGGAAGCAGAGCTCAGCGCTTTTGCTGTCAGAGCCTGCGGAGGGCCAGCAGAGGAGGGTGGGTGACTGCTGGCTCGGGTGGGTTTCCAGCAGGCACGGAGCTGTTTTCAGCAACGGGTTTGGGCTGACTGGGGAGGGAAGGCTGCTCGTTGAAAAGTCTGTTACAGTGACTATAGAATCCCAGACTGGTTTGGGTTGAAGGGACCTTAAAGCTCATCCAGTTTCAACCCCCTGCCACGGGTAGCGACTCCTTCCGCTAGGGCAGGTTGCTCCAAGCCCCGTCCAACCTGGCCTTGAACACTGCCAGGGATGGGGCAGCCACAGCTTCTCTGGGCGCCCTGTGCCAGCGCCTCAGCACCCTCATAGTGAAGAATTTCTTCCTAATGTCTGATCTCAGTCTTCCCTCTGTCAGGTTAAAGCCATTCCCCCTTGTCCTGTCCCTGCATGTCTTTGTCAAAAGTCTTCCTCCAGATTTCTTGTCGGCCCTTTCAGACAATGGGAGCTGCTCTAAGGTCTCCCCAGAGCCTCCTCTTCTCCAGGCTGAGCAAGTCCAGCTCTCTCAGCCTGTCTCCTCACAGGAGAGGTGCTCCAGCCCTCTTGCCATCATTGTGGCCAACTTTGGACCTGCTCTAACAGCACCATGTTGGAGAATGATAATGAGATACCAAAGAGTCTCCCCAAGCAATAGTGGGGGAGGCTGTTGTGGGTTAGTTGGTCACAGTGACCCACACAAAGCTCTTCTGGCTCTTGACCCTTTGATTCTTTCAGGGTGGTATGAGGATAGTGATGCCCTCAGCAGTATCATCAATCTTGATGTGAGGAAGGACTTGGGCTGGACTTCCTCAGTCTCAGTCCTGGAGCTCATTCACATGAGCGAGTACGTTGAACGTCTGCTGAATAACTACTTCCTTTTGTTGCAATGTGCTTGATATTAAGACTACAGCAAAGTGCAGGGGTTTGATGGATGTGTACAGGAAAAGACATTTATCCAAGTGAAACAAAACTGGGAGGAGGTGCACATAGCAACAGTCAGAAAAATAATAGAGCCACCCAGAACTGGGATTCCCTTGGGTCTGAGTGTTGCTTGTTAATCAGGCAGGGAATGGAGCATGTAATTCTTCCTTGTGTGTAAGCACAGGTCCAGGGTGTGGTAATACATGCATGGACTGATTTTGATGTGTAGTTTTATTATTGAATTAATAGCACATCTGAAAGGAAAACAGGAAAAGGAAACTGCCAAACAGGTGCACCTTGGAAATTAATGATGGGAAAGAAGTGAAACTGGAATTGCAGAAAAACACAGTCTGCATGAGCAGCAGCTACCAGAACTTCATAGATACAAGGGAACTGTCTTCCCTGGTTAAATATTGGTGGTGTTTTGTGTAAGGAATCTCCAGCTCAGCAGAACAGTCTGTTCTCCAGCACATCTTTTTGTTATCAGAGAATCAGTTTTTATTAGACAACAAGTATTCAGGTCTACCAGTGTAGGTGCAGAAAACATATATGCTTGGAAAAATGGAAACAGTTATCTCTTTAGAGCCTGGAAATCAGTAAATGCTTCTGATGTCAGAAGTGTGATTCTTTAGTTTTTAAACGTTTGACTCTTTTTTTTTACTTTTTGAACCTGGGTGTGTCATTTTTCTTTCCTTATGACTGGCTATACAGGGTGCATCACTTGCATCTTGCCACGAGGATGATCAGGGGACTGGAGCACCTCCTGTATGAAGAGAGGCTGAGAAAGTTGGGGCTGTTCAGCCTGGAGAAGAGAAGGCTGCGTGGAGACCTCATAGCAGCTTCCAGTATCTGAAGGGGGCCTATAGGGATGCTGGGGAGAGACTCTTCATTAGGGACTGTAGTGATAGGACAAGGGGTAATGGGTTAAGACTTAAACAGGGGAAGTTTAGATTGGATATAAGGAGGAAGTTCTTTACTGTTAGGGTGGTGAGGCACTGGAATGGGTTGCCCAGGGAGGTTGTGAATGCTCCATCCCTGGCAGTGTTGAAGGCCAGGTTGGACAGAGCCTTGGGTGCCATGGTTTAGTGTGAGGTGTCCCTGCCCATGGCAGGGGGGTTGGAACTGGATGATCTTAAGGTCCTTTCCAACCCAAACTATTTTATGATTCTAAGATGTTTATCTAAAACGAGTGGGCTTCTTGAGTTGTGTTATATCTAGTGGAATGCTGCTTTTTGATAACTCTTTTATACTGGTGCAGATGGACTTTCTTCTCAATGACAGGTCCTGCTTAAGGGTACGTTTTGAGTACATGGGGAGAAATCACATGACACTGCACTGTCAGGAAGTATCTATCCGCTTATACCAAGATCCCCAAGTAGTTTCTTACATCCAAACTCCAGGTGTCTCCTCCTCAGTACCTGCTAGTTCCCAGGAATTCAGAGGATTATATTTAAACTGTTCCAGAGTTACCTGATGTGAGACCTGTGCTTTTGTCTTTTCCACTGTTGGGAAATGGCTGGGGAAAATTCTGCTGTCTGGAAGCTACAGTCTGGTTCACAAGGACCTGGCATCCAAGAAGTCTTCTGCTCTGGATCCTCCTTCCATTAACATTTCTGCTATGGAGCCCTAACCTAGAGCCGAGGAATGGAGCTGTCTGCCTGGCTGTGAAGAGCATGTTGGAGATATCTGGGGAGTCTGGTCTGCCTTTCCAAGGGGTAGAGAAGGTTTTGGCAAAAGCACTGTCCACCGTTTTTTTTTCCAGTGTGGAATTGTAAGGTTCCTACTAACGGCTTCCTTCTTCCACAAGATGCCACACTGGGATTAATTTTATGCCTAAGGGGCAATCGCCCAGTGCTGTTTAAGAACCAGCTCTTCCACTTCTGACCAAGTGCTTCAGGTTGGCTCTGAAGCCAAGTTGTGATCAGTGTAGGGACAAGTGAGGACGCTTAGTGTCTTGCTGACCCTATGGCAGTACTATCACTGCTCTGTAGGAAGATTTGGCTCTGGTCCCCATGTGCTTCAGGACCTTGCTTTGGGGACACTTGCTACTGGGCATCTCCAAGAATCTCATATGAAAGGCATCTCTGGATGGCAGCAGTTGGATACAGGCCCTTACCAGGGCCGGGAAGTCCCTGGAAGCTGGGAATGCTGAGGGGCTGCCCTGGGGGGCTGTGGAGGCTTCCTTAGCATGGGGTGCTGTCCTGTGGGCTGCTGAGCTGAACAGGGAATGCTTTTGAGCTCACTGAGTCATAAGAATTGGTGCCTGGTGTTACCATAGAAATCAGATCAGCTGCTAGGGGTGGGGAGTCCTTGTCCCTTGGCTCCGCTGCTGCTTGCATCTTTCCAGCATGAGCTCACTGTGTAAGGGGACCTGATTTCTTGCTCCTTCTCTCTTCAGGATCAGAGGGGGTCAGATAGCTCTCACAGCCCTCACCGGAGCTCAGGGAGTAGTTTTCCTTGGGTGTCTGCTTGTGTGCAGTGGTCAGACCCTGTGTGTTTGCTGTGCTGCCTTGCTGATGCGCTGCCCATCTATGTTTTGCTTGTTTGTATTTCAGGGAACTTCATTTGCTTAGCAACAGCTCCCAGCCCTTTGGGAGCCCCAGAGAGGTGAAAACTGGTTGTAAAGGGATGAGTAGCAGATAAGAGAGGACAGGAAGTAGTGAGCGTGGAGTGATCTAGAGAGAGGGCACAAACACCAAATACCCGATTTCCTGTGCTCTCAAAATGCATTCCCAAGATAGGTCATGAGTGTTGCCCTGAGCACAGATGTGACGCCTTCCAGGGCTCTGTTTCTCACAGGTTTTGTCCTCTGGGCTTACATCTGAGTAACTGTTTCATCATCTTCTCTGGATAAATGTACACATTCAAGCTCTAGGGATGGAAGATGCAGAACATCATTGCCCCCCCATTCGGCTAAAGGAAATAGCTTCACCGTGAACATGATCTTTCCACACAAAGGCGTTGCGCCTCCTCAGATCATCTTTGAACCCTTTGCTCTCCTCATAGTGCAAAACAAGCACAAGCCTGTCTGAGAAGCAGCGTTACAGAGAGTCTTGCTTATGCAAGGTGTCATTTTGTTTTGTTACAGTTCCTCTTGGCTTGCTGCCTGTTGGCTGCTGGATTGCTGTCCGTGTGGTCCGTGTGAGCAGTCCAGATCTATGTGCTTGTTCTTTCCAGTGTTTCCTTGCTTACTTCCAAGGCACTGAGGATAACAGCTGTTTCCTAGGGGTTGTCCCTAAGAATTGGTACCCCTAGGAGGTGCTGCGTGCTGTGCTAGCTCAGTTCTGCGTTTGACACATCATCTGCTCCACCTGGGAGTGAAAAATACCTGCAAGCAGCAGCAAATGTACTGAGCTGCCTGTTTCTTGGACCTCTTAATTTCTTGGTATCCTCAGTATTATGTAATGTTTGGTGAAAAATACTCATTCTGGCTACATGGCTTTAGATTAGATGATTCCTTGTCTTATAGGAGAAAGGTTTTGCTGGGTGATGCTGAAAGATGACTGTTGTGTGTGTATTGTTCTCTCTGTCTTATTAGCTCAGCCTACGAAATCCTGTTTTAAGAAGCTGTTCACTTTTGTGTTTGGATCCCAGCACGCTGAAGCAGGCACTTCAGTGCTGTTGAGAGCTCCAGCCCTCCCTTATGGGGAGAAAGGAGGGTGATTCCTGGGAATGCTTCCAGCACTGGGCCAACTGTGGAAACAACTGGGCTTGGTGCCAGCCCTTCGGAAGGAGGGGGAGCTCAGAGCTGGTACAGTGAACGTATCAGGCAGGGGCTGGTGTAGCCTGTCGCCTTCCTCAGCATCTTGTGGCTGCTCCATTTCAGGAGAGAAACTGCTCCTCACAGAGCTTTGGCCAAGCAGGGACTCCGAGAGGGTTGGTACGTGCTCCTGGTGGTCTTTTGATAGCAATTGGCACCAAAGAATCTGACATATGTCAGTGCTTCTGGCTTGGAGGAGTAGGAGGAGTTCCTGCCTGTGTTAAGGGGGAAGGGAAGTATGATCTCTGGATACGTAAAGGGAGGATTTGGGGGAAATCAGAGAGAAGAAGAAGAGCCTCTATGGGGAGGTAAACTGTGATCTCTGTGTCTCACCCAGCAATCTCTGCAGTCCTTGTTGTAGACACTGCAAAATAACCCACGGTGTTTGGGGACCATGGCTACAGACCCGCTCTCAGAGCTTCAGGATGACCTGAACTTGGACGATACCAACCAGTCCCTCAGCCAGCTCCAGCTGGCCTCCATAGATGATAACAGCTGGCCAGCAGATAATGTCCCTGCTTTTCCTAAGTCAGGTGAGTATCCTGCTTGTTTGGGGTCTGGGTTCCGACCAAAAGGGATTGTTTGTCCTGCAGCACTGTGGTCATATCTGCATATACAGAGAGGCCCAGATCCATCTGAAAGCTTTATAGACACATTAATCCTGTACCACACCCAAGTGAATTAGCCCTGCCACTGAAACAGCACTAAAAAGCTGAGAGCAAGCTGATGTAAATATGCTTTCCTCCATCCTGTGGCTGACTGCACTTTGGTGCTGACAGTACAGACATGCTCTAAGTCCTTGAGTATCCTCTGTTATGGTCTCTTGCAGGATAGGTTGGCCTTCCTGAGTGGAAGGGTCTTGAACTTCCACATGGGGGTGGGGTTGGAGATTGAGTTGCTGCTCTGGAATCCTGTCCTGTGGACTGCTGCCCAGAGAGGTCAGGGATATTAGCTCAAGGGCTTATAGGATGACTGTGCATCCAGGGATGATGTTAAGATCCTTCTGCTCTGGAAAGCCATGATGTTGCCCTTGGCACTTGGATTTTGGTCTCTGAATGTTTGTGACCTATCAGAACAGCTGTTTTTGAGAGAATATACAGTCTGAGGGACATGTTTGGACCTCATAGGATTGACAGGTCTCTTCTGAAGCCATTGCTGCTCCTGTCCTCTCAGAATTTCAAAGGAGGGTTTTCAAGGTGGACAGGTACATGCATTAGTCCCTCCTGTGTTGAAGAACCATTTTTTCTCATCCCTGTACCCCTGGCCAAGGTGATCCAGATCCCTCCTTCTAATTGCTTGTTCCTTGTGTTTTGTGCAGAGGACTCCAAAGGCTCCCCTGAGCCCGTCACTCACCTGCAGTGGGATGATCCCTACTATGATATTGCCAGGCACCACATTGTGGAAGTAGCAGGTAGGAGTCTTTCTGTTTTCTTTTGTGATGTCTTTGCAGCTGGGCTGAGGAAAGGTCTTTCTAATGGGGTTGTTGGGGCACCTGCTTTATGCCAAGCCCATGTGGCAATGACAGCTGGCATCCTAAAGAGAAGAAGTACCAAACTTCATGTATGCTTGCTGTGTATGTAATTTTCCACTGACCGTGGTTAATCTTGCATTGCTTCTTGGCTCTTGGTTTCTTTTGCTGAATTGGTTTAGATGTGGCCCTTGACTATGTCCTGAGCATAGGATGTGGGTTTTGTGTGATAAGGCCACAGAAATTATGTAGTTATACAGTACAGTTGCAAGGTCCTCAGCTGATGGAGTAATTCACAATAAGTCTGTCAGCTCTTGTATCTGAGTGGCCAGAGCTTGCCATCCTGTCCAGAAACAGCATTTACAGAAATAGGGGGAATAGACCCATGTCCGACTGCAAGGAATGACCTGATCATTCAGGGTCAGGAGCATTTGGATTTTCTCTATGTGGTTGTCTTATTATTTTAATGACCCTGACCCATGGCAGTTTACTGCTGGGGCATCCATAAGAAAGAGTTTTGGGCATATTCTTTATGTTGCTGTGGTAAGCATGAGGGAAGGGTAATCCCAGTTTGTCTTGTGTTCCAAATGCCTCTTCGGCCTGTTGCGACTCGATTCACGCTTCCTTCTCCTCAGTTATCTATGGCCACTTCCTACCCCTCCTATTGCCATTCCTCTGCCTTGGTCCCTGCCCCACATGTGAAATTGCAGTGAAGCAGAGCACAGGCTGGAGTCCTTTGGACTCAGGGTTGCTCTGCAGCAGGGTTTTAAGACAAAGAGAAGATTCTCAGGCACTTACCTTGGTAAGAGTTGTCCTGGCATCGTTCTTTTCTGGTCTGTTTTCTAGAATGAGCTTTCTTTCTCCTACCCTCTCATGTTACATCATTTGGGAAGCAAAACAATAATGGTAAACTCAAAACTTTGTTGTCCTTTGTGCCTCTGGCTGCTCAGGTTCACAGGCCCGGGTATTTAATGTTTGGGCCATAGTGTCTTGTAGATTTGCCACTAGTGCTTTCATTTGCAAACGTGTTACTAACCTTCTCCATGAGGCTGGAGTTTTAGCACTGGGGTTCCTAGAGGTCTGCACCCCAGTGTCCCTACTGCTGGAAGTGGGAAGGGACTCCACCATTTTCAGTGATAACAGCTAGACTATTTGTAATGCAGATGGCAGAGGTAACTGGCCTTTCAGGACTCTGGAAGCTGATGAGTTAACTGGCTCTGTTGTTCACTTCAGACAAAAAGTGCTTAGCAAAGGGTTTAGATCAGAGACATTGATAAGCCTGGAATGCCAGCCCAAACCAAGGATATGCTTTGTGTGCTGCCTCCTGATGTAAGCACCAGTCTCTCTGCGGGGTTTCTGTTCCAAGGTAACACCATTTAGGTTTTTTTCCCAAGCTCTCTGAATGGAATATCACTCCAGTAGAGGTGTGTATCAGTGGCCTTTGGAATGTTTGACACATTGTCTAGGATAGCAAATGAATTATCTAACTTCCTGAAAGGATCTGGAAGTGGTTTGATGGCTGACTGGGAGCTGTGCCTGCATTCTGAAAGAGATCTCTTCCCTGACAGTGGTTTAAATTGATATTTCTAGTGAGCTGTCTGTCCCCGTTGTGTCTCTGCATAATGCAGAAGCAGCTCAGAGAAGCTTCTGTTGTTGGTTGCTCCTGGCCAGTGTTCACCAGTAGCTGGTTTATCTAAAAGCATGTGATGGTCCCACACACAGAACGTGGTTGATGCTTTTCTTGGCATTGGAACAGTAGCACAGCTCCAAACAGTGGATTTACTGCCACATAGTTTTGAGACTCCCTTGTGTCTCATCTCCTGAAAGCAGGATTTATGAAGTGGATCTATGGGGCCTGAGTTGTAACTTGGCCTCTGAGGTGATGCTGTTTGTTCAGATTTTTTGGTCAAAAACAGATATCATGAACTGTTTGGAGAACGGGTGATGGTCTCTGGGCTGTTGTCAGAGTCAATCTGGGAAAATGCTGTTAGAAATAGCCTGGCGAATCGAAACTGCACTGCAGGGTTAACATGAAACTGTTTGCCTCTGGCTCTCCTGACAAGTTGTGCTTGTCAGCACCTTCATGTGCAATGAGCGCTCCTCATGCTGAGCCTGAAACAAGTAGCTCCAACCCGGTTCTCTCCTAAATGCTAGCAAATGGCAGCAGATCAAGGGTTGTTTTACCCATTCTACTGCTTTCTGAGCTTTCTCTTCTGTGTCCTTCCCTGTTGTGCACTTGAGAGCAGAAAGCATATGGCTAACTCTGTTCCTGCCTTCCCTGAAATCCATTCTGGGATGCTGGTGCTATTTTGAGACAAAACCAGAAGGCTGGTTCCCATCCTTGGGCTGAACTCCATGATCCCAGGGTTATCCTGTGTGGTCAGAAGAGTAATTGCTTCTTGCAGGAAGGAGGGGTGTTAATTTAAACTTACTAAAAGCCCAGTTTTGATGGCAGAAAGTTAACACACGCATTTTCTAGCTGACCTGAATTCCTGATGGAGTTCAAGGCGTGCTGGATTTGAACATCCTGGATATCTGGCCTAAAGAGGGGGGAAAATAACATTGAAGATATTTTGCTAGAAATTTGCTAGAAAAAGAAGGGATTTGCTCTTGTTTTTCATTTAAAAATAGTTCAGCAGCTTCACAGAGAGTCTCCTTTTATGCCCTGGGCTCCAGTCCCTTCTGGAGACTGGGATCTTCCTGGAAGAGGCTGTCCGTGGGAAGGAGCAGGAATGTCATTGCTGTCCTTTGTGGGCGTGTGTCATAGGAAGATGGCAACAAAAGGCACCCAGGCCCCAGTTCCAAGGGAGTACAACAAGATGTTCCAGTTTTGGGAAGCGTTCCTTTAGTTCTGGGGTGCAACACTGTTCTATGGTACTCTGCCTTTCCCTGCAGACCTGCCTCACGGTGTGAATTTCCTGGAGTGTTTTACGCAGGCTCTGGAGAGGTTTCCGTGTGGTTGTGCTCTTCTTGACTCTTGAGTTCCTCTTTCTGTGGGCATTGTAGCAGAGAAATTCGTCTTCACACATGGCTAGAGGCTGGAGCAGAGGCGGCTCGGTTTCACTGCACAAACCACTTCTGCAAAGTGTGGTTTCTCTTCTTGCTCCAGCCAAATGGCATTCAGAAGAAACACAGGCTTCTGGTTAAAGACTGTTGAGGAGCTATCCCGAATTGCTGTTGTGTGTGAGAGTTTCTGTATCCTTCTGTTAATTCCATGCCAAAGGTGCTGCTTCCATCCCCTTGAGGGTTGAGGCAGACTGATGTGCCATAATCTTATCCCTGAATGTCAGCAGAGGCTGAATTGCAATGGTATGCTTAATAACAGGCTGAAGGAGGTCTCTGGAAAGGCAGTTCCTATTGGGAACCTGGAGCTGTGTGGGAAGAGCAGGACTCTGGACAGCTTTAGCAGCATGTTCGCCCCTTGTTCTTCTGCAGAGTCCAAAATACTGGTCTCACCTTTGTGGTCAATATGCAAACCTTATAGCTACAAAGTGCATCAGCATTCCCATGTTACACAATAACTGGTTTTCTTCTTTTTGGGATAAGAAAACTGGGGCTTAGGATATGACCGGTGAATGAATTCTCCACTGCTGTGGAGGCTAGAAGTTGGTGATGCATTAGTCAGCACAGTGGCTGTTACTATTTGCTTTAGCTATGTAGTCCCTGCCCTCTGACTTCAAAGCTTTGCTGAAGCTCAGAGCATGTTTCTGATAGCTTTTGTGGGAAAACTGCTGCTTTACACCATTAACTGTCAGTCTGCAGGGCTGCCCTTGCAGAGGAGGCATGATGCTAGTGTGTGTAAGACCTGTGATTGAAGAGGGAAGGCAGGGTGGAGAGCTGGGGGTGTAACTTACTATGAGTTACTAGATTAAAGCTGCAGTTTCAACAGTGAATCTTTATTTCAATGGTGAATCTGGTACCAAACCTACCTGAAAACCATTGTGGCTGGCTGTTGGCTGCAGGTGGAGAACTGTAACTAGTGCTGATGCTTTGTTGTTGCTGCCTGTGATTGACATGAGGAGGTAAAATCAATCTTGGAGCACCAGTTTCATTAAGAAGGCAAAGTAAACACAGGCAAACCTTGTGCTGAAAGTATGTTGCAGTGTGTCTTTGGTGGCAGAGGCCTCTGATAACAAGGGTTCTTCTCCCTTCCAATACGGTACGTTATTATTGGCCCCATTTAATACAGGGTGCATCCATTTCTGCTGCTTTTGGGTGTAGTTTCTGGCTTTGACTTATGTAATTTTTGTTAGAGTATTTGTATGATACAGAATGATGAGCTGCATCTGCAGAATTGGGCCCATCAGAGCAAGCCCAGCTTCTGAACCATGTTTTGACATTCAAGATCAAGGGAATGGAGAGTGTCTAAGGGGTTCTGAGCTCCTAAGGGAGACCAAGGGAACAGAGAGTTTCTTTCTACAGCCCTGCTCTGGAACTCTCCATCCTGTCTTGACAGGCCTATATGGGTCTGTTGAGTGCGTAGCTAGAAGAGTGATGGAGAGGGGCTGGGCATGGCAATAACCACTTTGTAACCAGTCTTTGGTCATTCTAATTGGCAGTTTATATTCAATTCAGAACCTACCAAACATTTTCTTTTAAGCTGTGTGTTGAAGATCTAAATTGTCCCTATCTGCAGCTTATTAGTGCAGCTTATTTAGTTCCGCTTATTTAGCTTCTTGCAAACCAATCCGTTGGATGTGTTATTCAAACACTATGATGCCATTCTCTGTACACTTCTGAAGCTGCTCAAAGGACCTTCACATTCGGATTTGATTCTGCTTGACCCTTTTAAAAGAGCCAGGACAGTGGTTGCCATTTTGGTGGTAAGGAAGGTGTAACAGTAGGGGTGAGAAGTTTGACTGATAATACAGGATTAGTTGCAGATTCAAGACAGAAATTTGGGAATCATGGGTTGCTGTTACTGCTTCTAATTGTTAGGTAAGATTGCTTTGGAGAAGAGCATGTGAGAACGATGAAATAGAAGGAGCATGATTGCTGCAAGACAGCAACTAAACACATCCCAGTGGCAATCCAACTAGCCTCTGAGACTATACTCAAGATTACTTTCTGGGAAAGGGTACAAAGCTTGGCTTGCTATAACCTTGTTTCTGTTCCTCCAGACCAGGGTGCACTTGATGGGGCCCAACCAGGTAGGTAGACTTTTTGTGGCGCTAACATTTGGTACTGTAGATCATGGTATTCCTTTAGCATGACCATGGCCTGTGGCTGGACTGTCTCAGGGGAGCCCAAACTTTGCTCAGCTTTAGGCTGCATTGGCAACTCTTCAGGAGTCCAGAGCCTGCACCAAATTGTTGTCTGAGGGCTGCACCTCTGCTTCCAGCACAGCAGAACCATTTGAGCCAAACTGGGCATGTGGGCTTCACTTTGGGGCTCTTGGGTCTCAGTGTAAATCCTTTTCTGTCATGGTGGTGGCCTGCTTGGACCAGTTCAGTTTGAACTGGGATTTGCCTCGTTGTCATGTGTGCTTTGGAAGCTCATCCTAGGATTGCTTTCTATTCCTTCGTACGATCTGCTGCTGCGCTCACATGCCAAGCAGCTGGCGCTTAAACTGGATTCTCCAGCTGAAAGCAACTGTTATCTGTTTCTTCTCCATTTGGCTGCAGAGATGTTGTGTTTTGGTAGCTTATTCTAGCCTGAAGCTGTGCTAGACTGCTCTGTGCTTGCTGAGCATTTGTTAATACTCTCTGGACTGCAGCCCCAGTCTGCCTGCCGGCGCTTTCACACTTCTCAGTGTAGGTGAAAACTTCTTTTGGTGTGAAATTCTTGCTTCTGTTTCTGAACAGCAGGTCAAGACCTTCACACAGTCCATGGAAATGCTGATCTTCACTTCCTCATTACATGGGCATCTGCCATGCTCTCAGGCATCCTCCCATTTCGCATTCTTTAATCTGATAATCTGACCCTTTAGTATATTTTGTATCAGTTAGAGCTGCAGCCTCTTGTTAAGGCTTTATGATTTGGATATTGGGAATATTTAGGTAGATGTTATGCGTTAAAATACTTCTACTTTGAGCTCCTTACCTTCTTTAACTGAGGGGCTAAAGCCATGCTGCCAACAGGCAACTCTACTATATTTACACGCTGCCCAGCTGTGTCATAAGCTTGGCAAGAGCCTGAAATTACATGAGAGAAGTTTTTTACTGGCCGTGGCTCTGATGAACATCCAAATCTTTGTGAAAATTGTGTAGTAATGTTCCAGAATTATGCAGTGGTGTCCTCTCCTTGACTATCCACTCTTTAACTTTGCTGGTTTACCAATAGCACTTAGCTTCTAGAGGCAAGTTTTATCCATCTTCATTCTCTCAGTATCAAAGTACTAGGATACTCCCATTTGAATCTTTCATCGGGGTGGGCCCTCAGTTGAGGGCACCTGATGAAGGTAGGAAGGAGCTGAGTCCCTGGGCTGCAGTGAGTAGTATGACAGCTTCCAATCATGGCATAAAGGATATATTTCAGGAGAAATACCTAGAAATACAAAGCAGGATTTGCAGGTCAACCATGTCTTGTCTGTGTTGACTGTACAGATTCATTTAACAGGGAGTCCTGTCTCAGGACAGTACTTGGTGGGAATTTGTGCACTGTTATGTTTGTATTGCTGCAGGTTTCAATCTGAAACATTAGCCTCAATATTTAAACTTGAGTCCTTTCAAAAGTGTGATCTTGCATCAATGGCTTAGAACCACAGCAATGATGTTCCATACCCCTTGTCTCAGAAGTGCTGCTCTTCAGGTGAGAGTTAAAATCGAGTTTGGGCTTTAAAAGCACCATAACAATGTTAAGGAGAGTTGGCATGTCCATCAGTGCTGCAAGTTAATGCCTCTTTAGATGGGCAGCTGTCTTGACTGGAGAGGCTTTGCATATTGGCTCTTTGTTGTTAAAAAAGATATATCTGGATTACATCCTATGGAGAGGTAGGTTTATTTCAAGTGTAATGTATGAACTTATTCTCAAAGGTTTGCACATTGTTAGGGTGCTCTGTGAGTGCTGATGGCCACTGCTTCTCTGTTGGTTTGTTGTTAACTGTTGAGCATTCCTCATCTGGGAGAGGTAGGAGACAGCCTGAGAAGCTGAGTGACTACTTCATGGTCTGTAGTTGTGTTTAATGGAAACTTTAGCTATTTGCAATTGCAAACAAGGGGTGAAACCCTAGATACATAAGATTAATATTGCAAACAGGAAAGCAAACAGTGCAGGGGATGGAGCATCTGGGAAAGATCAAACACGATAAGAATCTGGTTGGTTGGAGGCAGAGAGGCCACCTGCAGACAGTTTTCTCTGACAGCCACGAACACATGGAATGGGCTTTAGGTTCTTGCTTATGAACTGCAACAACTGATGTTTGCTTTGATGCTGAATGTTGCATTTTGCCATGTCTGGAGGATGCAGGCTGACCTGATCTGTGTCAGGAGGAAACAAGATTGGCAGTTGGTTGTTTTGACAGTGTCCGTGCTGACAGGCTGAGCTCAGTGTGATGAAACCAGAGTGAAACCCAGAACTCAGTGATGGGCATGCTGGTTCCTGTGTAGGTCTCATGCATAAATTCACTCTGCTTTGGAAGGCAAAATGGGCCACTCCTTTTCCACTCATCCAAGGGGCTATAGATTATCCAACCCTAACTGTTCTATGATTCTGTGATCTTCTGGTGTACTTGGTCCTGGAAATTATCCAAGGGAAACATGCCATCTCCCCTTTGGCAGAATCATGGATTGTTCATTTTCTCTTTACCAGCACTCCCAGACCTTTTCTTCAAGGCTATATAAGGAACAAGATTCCAGATTTTGCATAGGCCCTGCCATAGGCTTTCATGTCATTCCAGAGGAAGGTCTTTAAGGTATGTGGCTCCTGAACTGTGATTTGTGAGGTGAGGAAATCACTGCCCAGGAGCCCGAGCTGAGCATGTGGCCCCCCACAACGCTGCTTGAACACAGTTCTTCACAGCCAAGGCCTGCCTTGACCAAGTTTGCAGTCTGCTTCTGGCTCTCAGACCATCCACTTTGGTGTAATGCAGCCTCTCAGTTAACTGAAGATAGCACCTATTCTGACTTCAGCACAGAGCTATGATCTGCAAAGATCTGTAGTCTTTCTGACCATCTTCTTTAATCACTGTAAAACTCAACAGATTCTCAGATGCTGCCATCTTCTTGCTGCTCTGTGCAGACAGGACCCTTTATATTCCATATAGAAACATACAAGTAGCTCAGGATCATTGGGAGGAGTTACAAGATGCCATATTCCTTGCCCAGGACTTTGTAGCATGCATCTTTGTTTTACAGACAGCTTATGTGCATTAGACCCAGCCCTAAAGCTCATAGCAAGCTACTGAGAAACTCTGGGCTAGGCAGAGAGTGGGCTGCTGTGGGATATGCAATGTGATGTTGGTCTTGTGGCCTGGCTGTGACTGTATCTGGGTGTTCCCAGATGAGCCTTGCATCACTCTCTCCTAGTCCTGCATTCTGGGTCATGCATCCTCCCTAATTGCCCCTTACCTCCGCATGTGTATGTCAATGTAATGGCCTATGCCAACCCTTTCCTGGTCTGTAGCTAGTGCTGCTTCAGTGTTCCAAGCTTTTGTAGAGGTTCTGGCTTGTGTGCATCAGTAACTTCTGTCTCTTGTGTTGTCTGGTGACTTGAAAATAGGACTTGCGAGGGAAAAATAGAAACAAACTACTTCCAAGAGAATCTGTTCTTGTAGGCAGCATGGGGCTAAAAGTGGCTTAGTGGCATCTTAATGTCATGGCTGGTATATGTAAGTCCTCTGGTTGCCATTTGCAGTGCAAGGTGGTCGTCTGTTACTAACAGGCAGCATTCCCGGGAACCTCAGGTTTGCTGTCCAGGGTTCAGTTTGAGATCTCAGTTGCTGCACAGTAGGTGTAACCAAGCAGTAGTTGAGGCCAGAGCCCATACAAAGGTGAGAAAATGGCTGCATGCTCTAAATAGTGTAAATCAGCCTGGGGAAAAGGATATATTGCAAGATTGCTGTGCATAAGTAGTGATCCTTGCTGCTTTTCTGTGCTGTGGTCTGTATGAGATGGTTACGCTCTAGGGGAGCAAGGTGAGTAGCAAGAAAGATGGGAAGACTTTAACCCTTCACCCTAAAGGAACCATTTCATCTCCATTGGTGCTAAAAAGCAGGTCATCCTTACGGAGATGGATTGTGTGTTGTGTCTGGGAGAGAACCAGACTTTCCTTCTAATTCCCTGTGTCCAAAAGATTTGTGGCCTGGTTCTTCCTTAGCTAAATCTCTCAGTTCCCCTGGCACTGTCTGCTGATCTTGTCTGTGCTCATCTGCCTGGATTTTGATCATGGAGCTGAGATCTCTGCTGGTGTAAGTCCATTGATGTATGAAGATTTACTTTGAGGAAAACTTGGCTTGTTGTTTCTGAAGCCTCAAGTGGTGCTTGGGAGTGTCCTCCCCGAGATGAGGATGCTCTATGGTTTGTTTGGCTCCAGTGAGATGAAGACTGTTTTGTGCTGGGTTTATACATAATATACTTTGTTGTGCTGCTCTTTGCAGCTCCTTCCAGCTCAGGCTGGAAAAATACCTCTGTGGATGGAAAATGTAGGAAAGAGTGAGCAGCTTGTTCTGCAATCCCCTGGAGAATCCAGCAGCTCTACTTGGTCCATGTGTAGAAGAGGCTTGTGATGATGCTTGCTTCTCATCTCTGGGATGTGGCTGGCTGGGACTGCCCTATTCCTAAGAATGTCTTGGTTTCCAGGGTATGAAATGGCTTTGATTTCTGTGCAGGATAAAGCTTCAGGTGAAGCAAGGAGGAAATGCATGAGGCCATGGGCAGTTGGTGTAGGACTGTGTGCAGGATGGAAGCAGTTGTTATGCCTGTGAGGGCAGTTTTCTCTGTGCCTCCCTGCCACACATCAGGAGCAATGTCCAGGGGCAGTGTTGCAGGATTAATGCTCTGACTACTCTGTACTTGAGGCCTGCATCCCTACATGCCCCAAGGCATCCTGGCTTCCAGTCCTTCCTTTTCTTTCAGGGCTAGAGCATGGCCTCTGTTCTCTATTCACATTGTTTACTTGCCAGGCCTTTGGTTCAGGTTTCTGCTTCCACACTAGGCCCATGGTAACTGCTGGAAATGAGGCGTAGCTTTGCTGGCATCTCTGACAATCCAGACTTCTGCCTTGTTATGGTGGTTTCCCATTCTCTGTTTGTCCCTTGCTGCCAGGACCACAACGTAGTCCTTAAACTCCCTGTAATCCCTGCCATTTCATCTGCAGGTGATGACAAATACGGAAGGAAAGTCATTTTGTTCAGTGCCTGCCGGATGCCCCCAAGTCATCAACTTGATCATGTGAAACTGCTGGGGTGAGTAGTTTCTTAGGAGGCTGCTGTTCTTAAGCCTGATGTAATTCCCAGGTGCTGGATTCTTGAGGCCAGATCTATCTGCAGTAGTTTCTTTAGCTGGATGTGTCCTCCCAGAGCACTTGCCTCCATTGCTGGGGGTGCAGACCCTCTGTTTAGACACACAAAAGTGAGTACCCAAGGAGAGTGTGAAGTGAGCTCAGCGGTTGTCTCTTCTCAGGTACCTGAAGTTCACACTGGACCAGTATGTGGAGAGTGATTACACACTGGTGTACCTGCACCATGGCCTGACCAGTGAGAACAAGCCATCCCTGAGCTGGCTGCGGGATGCCTACAGGGAATTTGATCGGAAGTGAGTAAGGCTGCAGCAAGCAAGGCTGTAACATGCTGTTCCCAAGCCTAGTGTAGGTTCCTCCATGTAGCTTTTGGATCATCATTTACTATCACTTATTTCTGCTGTTTATGGAGGTGGGTTGCTGTTTAATGCAGGCTGAATCACGGCTCCTTCTGTAGTTACCTCCTTTAGGCTAATAGGCAAGCAGCAAAACCGGGTGTCACCCCATGGTATAATTATTGCTTCCTGGTGCTTGGTGAATCTTGGAATACAGTAGCGTGTGCCCTTGGGCTGCTGAGTGGCCTGACACAGCTACAAAGCATGGGAGAGCAGAGGCTGTGGGTATGGGAGGTGGTGAGGCTCAGTGAAGAAGGAATGGAGCACCAGGGTGCCTTCATGTGGAAAGGCTGGATCCTCTCCTTAAAGCACAGCTCATCCTTACATAGCTTCTCCTGGCAGGTACAAGAAGAACATCAAAGCCTTGTATATTGTGCACCCAACGATGTTCATCAAGACCCTGCTGATTCTGTTCAAGCCTCTGATCAGGTAGGAAGCACTACAGGAGGCTCACCTGCATCCTCACATTGCAGGCGAACAATGAGGCATTCTCAGTGGGCACAAGATGAGCCCAGCTGCAAAGCCTACCCTGGAGACTCATCCTATGGTGTCACCTCTTTTCTGAGGTCAGACATAGTCAAACACAAGTACTGTTTTAAGAACCTGCAGAGTCTGCAGCTCTCTGCTGCTGCTCCCTTTTTGTCCAACCAAGTAAAATATTGCAGGCTCTGCTAATAGTGAATGAGGAAGTGAAAGCATCACTCCAAATTATATGTAATTCATTGTGAAATCCTAACTCTGTAAAGTAATTGAAAGCAAAACTTTCTTCAGCCTATTGCTGGAAGGAGAAATCCAGTGTTTTAGGGAGCCTGCTGCTGCTGGAGCTTCCAATGTGACTTGGAAAGTCTTGGCATCTCCTGGTAAAATACATGGAGGTGGAGACCACTATGTGTGACATTTCTGCTGCTCTATATCTGCCCCTTTGCCCTACTGATGTATCTTGCAGAACCCTGCTCTCCTTGTCTGTAGGAAGTCTGTTCTGATACTGGATTTCCCCATTCCTCACATAATCCTCTTTTCTCTTGTTTTCAGCTTTAAGTTTGGACGAAAGATCTTTTACGTGAACTTCCTTAGCGAGCTGGAGGAGTATGTGAAGTTGGAACAATTGGGGATCCCAAGCCAAGTGCTGAAGTAAGAATGCTGCCATTCTTACATTTAAGAATGCTTAGGACTCTGTGAGAGGGGACTTCTCTGGAGGAATGGCAAAGGGAGGAAGAGATTGTTCCACTCGGGCAGTGGTTTTGCAGGGAGTGGTGACAAATTGCCTTAGGGACTGTTGTTTCTATCCATGCTCCTCCCTCTGTGGCCACGGTGCCCAGTTCTGTCCCTGTGGAGCACCAATCCTGCCTCTCCTTTGGGGCTTTCTGTAGGCTGTTGACCCGGAGTTCATAGTTCATCTGCTGTGTTTGGGGACCTGCTCTGCTCCCTCTGCACAGTTCAGCTTGGTTTTGGGGCTTCCCAACATTGCCACAATCCCAGTCCTATCAGGTTGATTCCCTGTCCCTCACGCACACATGCAACTGTCTCATCGCAAGCAGTGCTGCCCTGGCCTCCTGCCCACGCTGTCATCCTCAGCTACTCCAGCTCTTGATTCCAGATAGGTATTCCTTTCTCCCTGCTTTTTCCTGGTAACCAGATGTTTGATCTTGTTGCTCCTGTGCTCCAGAGCTGCATAGGTGGAATCAACCACACTAGGCTGGAGCTGTTACCAGTGGGTGTGCAGTGGCTCACGTGCAGCGCTGGGTTCATGCTCTTTCTGGGAGGTGGGGTGGCTCCTTACTAGTCTGTGTTTTGCCACAGATACGATGAATATCTGAGATCCCTGCAGAAACCTTCACAAGTGCCCCTGAAGCCAACCCCTCCGCGCCCACCGCTGCCAAACCAGCAGTTTGGAGTCTCGCTCCAGCTGTGAGTATCCCTGGATTGTGTTGCTTTTGCCCTGACTTGCTTGGTATGAGCTCACTGTGTTTGAAGCTGAAGAGCAGCACAAGTGGCTGTAACCTTTTGGGCAGTTCAGACTTCCTGCAAAGCTTTCATCATTCTTCTGAGGAACCAGACGACCAGATCCTGACCCGGTTCAGTTCCACCTTCTTGATTCCACAGCTAGATTGGGTCTAAATTAGGATGGGATTGCTTCTGCAGCTAAGGGTCACTAAGGGGGGAGCAAAACAAGGGCCATGTGGGACAGCTTTGTGTCACTACAGACTTCCTTTAAACAAAGGAAGTCTGTTGGAGGCTGGTGGAGGTGTCTTTAGGGCTGTGCTGGTTGAGCAGTGCTGCAGGGCTGTTTCTTAGGTTTTTCCATATCATAAACTCTTATCTTAAAAGCACTTCTGTTCACACTTGTGCTGATCCCATCCCCCATTCCTGCAGGCTGACGCAGGCAAACACAGACACTGGCAAGGGCTAGTGATACTGGCTAAGTGGTGAAGGTATTTTTAACTTGGAGTGTGATTTTCCTTCCCCGGGGAATGAGGAGGAGCCAGTACCCTGTGGCCAGGCAGATCCTCTGGAGCAATCTGGCAACACATTCCCCAGCTTCAGCACGTTTCCAAATGGTGTTTCCTGTGGTGCCGTGTGCCTGAGCTTGTGAGTAGCCTGAGAGGGGTGAACAGCTCCATGCCATCAAGTGGTACAGAGAGCAAACACCTTAGCATCACTAGGTCTTCCCTGACAGCTGTTGGGTTGATGCATCTTTGCTACAGGAGTGAGATGGATAAACTTACCCCATACATATTTCTCTCGTGTCAGCTTCTTTCTACCCTTGCTCCTATGGGGAAGTAAACAGGAAGTTTAACCCTTTTCATCTTACTCATAACCAGCAGCTTTGCCTTCTGGGAACTCCTTTGCCTTGGAATCTACAGGCTGTGGGGTTTACAGAAGAGAGAGGATTACTCCTCTGGTGTAGTAATGAGCTCATACTTGCTCCAGTGAATGATGTAGCGTGATGGGTGAATGGGAGAGAAGGCTGGAATAGTGGCTGAGCCACGGACTGGGATAGCAATATCCTATAGGGTAGGGCTTGTGACTTAAAGACTCAGGGCTGCATGCAGGGTAGGGAAGACCAGTCATTTGTAACCTTTTGTCTCTTCCCCCAGTCTCAGGGAGAAGAGCCCTGATCAATCTCCTGTGCCTCTGGTGGTCAGAGACACCATTGCTCACTTGCGGGACCATGGTAAGTGTAGAGGGGGAACTGCAGCCCCTCTTTATTCCATGTCAGTGGCCTCTCCTCCATCCAAGTTCCCACCCAGAGTGTGGTGAGGTAAAGAGCAACAGTCTACAATGAGGTGTAAAGGCCGGAACTAGGTGAGTTAGCGTTCAAGAGAGTGTGCAGGGCTCAGGAGACCTCTTTCTTCCACTCATCGCTACTTGTATAAGAGCAGCAAAATGCTCCTTGTATCCTTTGCCTGGTAGTGGAAGCAGAAAGAATTGCCTTCTCTAAAAAAGAGACTTGTTGTCATCTGTTTGAATGCCCAAGGCATGCATTTATGACTGTTAAGACCAGCATTTTTAGACTCTCACGTGTCTGATCTTCCTTCTCCATCTGGTCTCCCTTCACAGCTCTTACCACAGAGGGGATTTTCCGGAGATCAGCAAATACACAGGTTGTCAGGGAGGTCCAGCAAAAATACAACATGGGTAAGTGCCCAAACTCAGCAGAACCCCTCTCATTTGCAACTGGAGCTGTGTTGGATCATGGCTCCTCTCCTTCTTTGATAGGCCTCTAGGTGAGGCCCCATCATGGTGTGACCCGAGCTGCAAAGGAGAAGCACCTGATACTTCTGCTGTGTAGTAACCACGTTCCTTCCCACTTACATTCCTGTTGCTGCCTTTTTCGTTCCTGAGTAAGTTTCCCTCTTTCTTGGGGTGGGATATACCTCCCACCTTAGTCAGGTTATACTGTATGGACTGAAGATGACCAGGAAGAAACTTTTTCATCTGTTACATCTCATGACTTCCAAAGACTTAGTGCTGGATTCGGCAGTGCTTTGCACATGCTTTTGGGACACATTTTTCCACTCTCCTAAAAGCTGTGGTGCTTCAGTACCCTCTCTGTGTTCTTTAAAGTCCTGCTTCCCTAGTTCTGAGCTCTGGCCACCATGTCCCGTTCTTTGTTTGGAGGAAGTCCTGCTTTGGCTACTGCGCACTGAGGTTCTGCTCTACTTTCTCAGGTGTGCCTGTGGATTTCCAGCAGTATGAAGATGTCCACCTCCCTGCTGTGATTCTCAAGACCTTCTTGAGGGAGCTTCCTGAACCCCTGCTCACTTTTGGCCTCTACAGCCACGTTGTCAGCTTCCAGAGTGAGTTGTAACAAGAGTGTCCTACTCCTGAATGTTACACTGGCCAAAGGCAAAGATAGCCTGGGAGGAGGGCATGCATGGGGTACCCCGTGACTGCAAACCGGGCCGTCATCACGGTGAGTGCTGAGGATTCCTCACGGACCTGCTTGTCTTTCCCCTCTTTTTAGATGTGGAGGAGGAGAATCGTGTAGGTGTTGTTCGCAAAACCCTCCAGACTCTGCCAGAAGAGAACTACCAAGTGCTCCATTTACTGACAGCCTTCCTGGTGCAGGTGAGCGGCTCCAAAGGTGGGCAGGCTTATGCTAGTTCAGTTGCCAGTGCCTTGAATCAGCTTTTTAACTGCTTGCTCTCTCTGTTCCTTTGAGAGGAAATGAGTCCCAAGACAGGAAATTGCCTTTCTTTACCTTACTGTTAAACAGATCAAGAATGATCATGATGATCTAGCCTAAGCAGTTACTTCTCATAACACTGAGATGTGCAGGTGGGCATTAAGCCTGTGTGGTTTGTACAAGAGAGGCTGAGAGTTCCCCAGGGTTATACATCTGATGTGTGTGTATATATGTATGTGTATATACATATATATCTATATATATATGCAAGACTAGAAGAGGGGTCTCTGATCTGCCCCACAGCGTTTTGTGCTGCCAGGGAAGCCACTGCAAGGCTGCTGTAGCAAGAGGGAAGGTAATTTTGTTTTGAGTGGTGACCTGGACCTGTTGAGATTTTTGCTAGCAGTGCTTTTGGTCCTATTGTTATGATGTGGCCTGGTGGTTAAGCTGTGGTGGCAAATAGCAAGTTATTGCTCCTCACCTTCTGAATGCTGGGTGTCATGTGTGTTTTTGTCTTCTGGCACTAGGCCTTCACTTTCTCTCCTCCCATTTTACCCTGGCAATCTGTCAGCTCTGGCTTTGGGGAGTGTAGAGGGCACCTGCTGTGTTGTTCTGTAGGATTCGTAACGGGCTCTTTCCTTCCCATACAGGTCTCTGCTCACAGTGACAGAAACAAGATGACAAACACCAACCTAGCAGTTGTGTTTGGCCCAAATCTGCTGTGGGCCAAAGATGTAGCCATCACCCTAAAAGCCATCAACCCCATCAATACCTTCACCAAGTTCCTGCTGGACCACCAGAAGGAGCTCTTTGAGGATGTGGAGGCCTGAATCCAGGCCAGCCCACACCAGCACACTGTGCTCACCTTCCCACCTTCCTTCCCACCTTGTCTTGGAGCTGTGACCAAGCTGACTCCAGTGCAAAGGGGCTATTGATCCTCTGGGTGATGAGCAGAGTGAGGGCTGTGGAGATGGTGGAGGAAGTGTGTAAGTAAGTGAGCAGAGACCCACTGCTCAGGATGGGCAGGGGAGCTGGTCTCCCTGCTGCTCTGAGTGGAGTCCTGGCCCCCCTGCCAGTCTGTGCAGCTCCTCCAGGCCTCATCACCAGCCTGCTGCCCTATCAGATGCCCTGCCTCTTTCCTCCTTCCCTTTCTGCCCTCCTGGTCCCTTCCTCAGCAAAGATCTTTATTGTTTCAGCTCCCAATAGTGCCAGCTCACCCCCTTGCCTCTGCTGGGCTGTCTGCGTGAGGGCAGCTCGCTGGGTTTGTGGCAGAGATGTTCTTGCACTGAATGTGCATCTGCCTTTCCCCAGTGGCACCTGAGGCAAGGAGGGAGCTGGGCAGCTCTTATGCTTGTCCTGCACTTGCAAACAACACTCCAGACCCCATAGTTTTGGCAGGCAAGTGAAGGACAGGCTCGCAGCACATGGACTGTGTTACTGGTCTGATTCCAATACAAGGAAGCTGAATTTAGCCCAAACCCCTCTGGGGTCCCCACTCTTGATACTGTTCAGTGTTTGCTGGGGTGTTGTGGGTGAGGTGCCTCCCACAGTTACCCAGCTCAGGTGGTGTTGATGCCTGGGTCCGGCAGACCCACCCCATGCCAGGCCTGGCTGTGGGGTGGATCTCCGATGGCTGGGTGAGTCTGAAGGGCAGACAGCAGGTGCCCTGGTGGCACTGAACCTGCTGCACACTACGAGCATCACTGCCTCTCCCCGGGGCAGCCGCACAAAGCCCCTTTCCTCTGTCAGATGTGTACATCTGTGCTGATGGCACAGGCACTTCTTGAGCAGGGCTCTCCCCAGAACAGCATAACAGAGAGCATGGCCTTGAGGGAAGGTGTAGGGGCTGGGGCTGATCCTCACCCTGGAGTGCACCAGGCTGGGCTTACGTTTCTGTCCAGGTGCTGAGCACTCGTGTGCCAAAGCTGTGAGGGAACAGCTATTCCATGCCAAGGGCCTTTGCCTTGTCTCCCTCAGTTCTGAGCTACCTTCCTTCTGTCCTACCATGGAAGCCTGGTCAGATGCATCCTGCATGCCCTGGGCATGGCTGGAGAGGTCGGGTTGTCCGCAGGGCAGGCTCAGAGTGGGGTGGACCTGCTAGCTGTGAGGGCATCATGGTTGGGTTTGCAGCTTTCCCGTTACCTGAGCTGAAGGAGATCCCTGTCCTCAGCCTGGCCCAGCAGGGTGTTAGCAGGGAGCTTCTAGCCTTACTTCACTGGTGTGTTGTATCTCTGTTATCTCGTGCCCTGCGTGCCTGGGCCAGGCCCCTGTTGCTGCCTCTGGCCACAGGGACAGATCTTTTTGGACCAAGCAGAACTATTTTAAATAGCTACTGGATGTGAAATACCGTTTGCTTTGTCATAGTATTTTAGCCTGCCTTTAAAACACTGACAAGGGTCGGTGCCCAGCTGTAAGCAAAGTAAGTGTCATCTGCTGCAGGCATTATGGAAATGGTGCTTATTGCTGAGCTCTGGAATGGGGATGAGTAAGGACACAGGCAGCTCTGTGCGGCAGCACTGGTCCATGAAGGAGGAACAGCAACATATGCATGGGAATAAGAAAGAAACTGAGCATCACTAAGGAGGTGTTTGATTAGAGGGCTGGGGTCTCATCCCATCTAGATAGTGGGGACTTTGTCCTATGGAGGCTACAAGGCTGCTTGGTCTCCCTGTTCCAATGCCCCTGTTATTAACTTAGCCCCCTGTTTGTCCAGAATAGGAAATGTTTCAGTCTGAACAGTTTACAGCAGTAACCAGATGTTTTGGAGGCAGAGACACTCAGCTCCTGATTCACCTGTGCTCTGTGCTAGAGGAAATTAGCAGGGCTGGTGTGCCGTGCAGGAGGGATGGACAGTGTGGAGAGGTGTACCTGCCCCAGCTTTTGCTTTAAGAGGCCCCAGTGTTTGCTGTAAGAGGCAGGGATTTCTGGCCAGCTGGGGAGGAGTGTGGAGGCAGAGGGAGCCCGATGTAGCCCTTCTTCCCCTGCAGGCAGCCTGTGCTGTGCAGGCTTCAGTTCGGGGGTAGACTTGATGCTCCAACTAGATCTGAGCTGCCACTGGCCTCACTTACATCCCCCTGGAGGAAAGGCAATCCCAGCTCTCTTCCCCTGGGACAAACAAGACCAGTATTGGCAGCATGGATCGGGAAGTGCCTGCGTGCCAGGGCAGGAGGCCTTGGCCCTGTGTGTAGCCCCAGCTCCCAGGGGAGGCTGTCACGTTCCAGCCACACAGAGCAGCGAGGACCATTCCCTTCAGTAGCGAAGGGAGCAGTGCTGGGGTAGCTTAGCTCCTCTCCAGCAGCAGAGCAGGGATTGCTGGAAGTGTCCGTGTTCTGGCTGGAATTTGTTTGGTGGGTGCTTCTTTTTAATTTTTAAATTTTTTTTTAAAGTGAATTCTTGAAATAATCTTTCCTTTTTTAGCACAATGGAGACGGGTGCATCCCCTGCGGGCAGGGATAAAAGCCTGCTCCAGTTCAGTGCCTGCAGGGAGCAGATTTGGAGGGCATTCAGGAAGCTGCTGCTGCGGTGGGAAAGTGCTCGCAAATCCTGGAAGGGACCCAGTGTAAATATCCCTTTGTCTGCTGCTCCTCATGCCGGAGCTGCTGGGGGCCCTGGGGCAGGCACAGGAACCAGGGTTGCTTTTGCTTCTGCAGTCCGCTCTCCTGGAGGCCTTGCATTGAAACACCCCTCGTGTGACTTGAGCAGGGAGCTGCCTCGGGCTGCCTCAGCCTGTGCTGGGTGTGTGCCCTCCAGAGCCTGCATCTGCCCAGACCAGGGGCTGAAATTCCCTCTGTTCCTGGGCAAAGAGCTTCTGCCCACAGCCAGGCTCTGGCAGGTTTGGGTGTCTCTGCCACATACAGGTGCAGGCAGTATCTGATTAGGGTGCTGGTCTTTGTTCTCCTTGCTGTAGAGCTGCCCAAGGGTCTCTTCCCTGTCTTTCAGGTTAGCTGTTAGCCATTTCTCCCGGGGGGGGGGGGGGTACTTGTTACACTTCAACCCTCTGCTCTTTAGCATCTCAACCATTCCCCTCTGTTTAAGCCTCCTGCTGTCTTACCGGCCTCTGCTCCCTGCCCCACGCTGTGTCCTGACACCAGGGCTGTCGGGGGGGCACAGGGGTGCAGGGGCCAGCTGGATGCCTTGTGGCAACGTTTGCTATTTGAGAGCTGAGGACCACTTTGGTCCTTGTTACCTTTCATGCACGGGGGCTCCTGTGCGTCACTGTTGGCTTTTGCTTTTGTTGCTGGTGTTCCTTGCTGCCTTTTCTGTTGATGTTCGTGAGGTGCCGGCTGGGGTTTTCACGGTTCACAGTTTGTTTTCTTCTGATCTGCACCAATCTTGTATTTCACAGTTTGCACTTTTTGTATTTAAATAAAATTCAAATGGTAATCCCAGATCCAGGTGTGTCTCTCAAGTGACAGGAGCTGTGGCACGTCTGTAAGACACAGAAGTAAAGCTGGCTACGCTGCCAGCCATAATAACCGTGCACAGAGGGAGGAGTGTGAAATTCCTCCTGTGTGAGTAACTGGGAAGAAAGACTGGTTTGCAGGAGCCTCAGGTTGGGAGCAGAATTCAAGCAAAGTGAAGCAGGGCTGGGCTCCCATGTTACCATCTCCCTGCCATGATGAGCAGTCTGAATGGGATTGCCCTTTCCTAGAGCTGGACTCGGGCAGCTCCACAGGTTGTGGGATCACTAGGTGCCAAGTGGGAGCCACCTCAAGGCTCTCCAGTTAGGATTAGTGAGCTGAATTTATCCTGTGGCCAAGTGGTCCATGCAGCAGAGACCTGCACCTTCTCGTGTCAACTCAGGTGGACTGCTAACTCCTGGATGTTTGCTGCACTCCAGCCCTTGATCCACATACATCTAACCTTTGCCTGCAGACATGGTAATTTCCTGGTTACACATAGAACGGTTTGGGTTGGAAAGGACCTTAAGAGCATCCAGTTCAACCCCCCTGCCATGGGCAGGGACACCTCACACTAAACCATGTCACCCAAGGCTCTGTCCAGCCTGGCCCTGAACACTGCCAGGGATGGAACATTTACGACTTCATCAGTAAGCTTTTTGGTTGACAGAAAGGCTCAAATGCAAAGTGATTACTGTGATTAGTAATACGAGTGTAGCAACAAGTGAACCCAACAGTGGCTGTGAGAATAGGAGGAGAGCAGAGAGCACTGGAGCTAAAAGCATCACAGTGAGGCAGACAGTAGCCTGAGCCCTGACCACTGGCCTTGCCACCTGGATGTGTTGATGCTCATGTTAACACTTCTGGAAACTGCTGTGCTGCTTTTCAGTTTCTGTTACTGATCAGATCAGCCACCCAACTGAGGGCTTCCCAGTGCTGCCAGTTCTCCTTCCACACACTGCCACTGTTCGGCGTGACCCATGCCAAGCTGTCAGCTGTACACCAGAGGTACGTTTGGCATCTGTTCACAGGTAACTCTTTGCATATGGTCCTTGTAATCTATTAATTTCTTTAGCTGCTGTAACTGACAGGACAGTTCTTCAGTTCTTGAGGGGTTTAATACTTAACTTTTGGGGCTTTTTCATTCAGATAGTGCTTCTGGCTACAGTCTTATTAAGAATTTCCACCTCTTTGTACTGTGGTGGCCCCTGTAATGGGGCTGGTGCAGTCCCAGGGGTTGGTCACAGTGACCTCAGGCTGCTGCAGCAACATCTCCTCTGGCTTCAGAGCTCAAGAGCTGCTGGGTCTAGTCCTGACAGGGTGCTGTAGTTGGTAGGGCCCATGCTACGTGCAGTCACATGGGTAGTACTTTACCCAGTGTAAACGCCAGTGCTGGATGTGTTTTCACGTCTGGCTGCCCTGTGGCCTTAAGAACATTATGCTGGGAACACTTTTCTCTTTCTAAATGCATGCACTAGGCTCACATGGATGGTATTTGATTGTTCCCAACCTTGGGAACCCTTCTGCAGCTGTTTACTTTTCACTTATTTGTTGATGGTTTTTCCACTGCCTTGTCTTACTGGTGATGTGGTGATGAGGGTGGAGACTGGAGGCCCTGTAGTAAGCCCAGATCCCACAGGATGGTTTATGTGAGTTTGCCAGCAATGCATCTTGACCCACAGTGCGCAATGTCTTTTGCAAGTGGCTGAAATGGCACTCATAAATATACACACATGCACACTCAAACATAATGCAGGCAGATCAGTAGCTACAATGATGCAATGGGATACTCAGTTTGTGTTACCTCCCAAAAATAAGAGCACTTTTAAGAGTTAGCCCTGTGCCTCAAACTGGAGTATTTCCTTTCATGGAAGCTTC